TTTTTTTTTTTTTTTTTTTTTTTTTTTACTAACCTTGGGTAACCTTTCGGGATCGCCCGGATGTCTCGGGATCACCTTCTGCAACCTCTGAAAACCGTAATCTATGGTCGGCTCATTTAGGGCTGTAACAGGACAGAGACATGGGTCAGGTTAGTTACTTTTATGTCATCCATTACTCGTTTATTGCACGCGTACAAATAAATGTGCGATTCCCTTCCTGATGCTCCGGCAGGCAGGCACCCCCCGACGCTCCTTCCGTCTTAAGGAATGGGATTCCCCGCCCCCCTTTCTTTTGCACATAAAAGCAATGATTATTTCTAATCTATAATTAGACTGGAAGAAAGTCAAAGGGTGACCCCATATATTGTACAAATGGCGGGCCGTCAGAAAGTTGCAGGTCTCAGGGCCATAGACAGCCATCACCACCGTCGCGATCACTGTCTGCGTCGCGCGGTGCCTTCCACCGTGGCCAGGGATTTATGGGGAACCGGCAATTATGACATATGTCCGGCTATTGCTGGCTCCGGATTTATCCCTGTGGTCCTTTTTTGTCTAGCATATTGCCGGAGCACAGACCAGGCAGGAGGAGCACTTACTCTTGCAAAGCTTTAATAATCTGCGAGCGGCTGACTCCACGCTGATGTAGAGCGTCATCGCTGCGCCAGCCTCGCGAAATTGCCGGCCACAAATAGTAATTAATCTTTTTATCCCTCAAATTGTAATTTTGACTATGAACTGCGCGGGGCCGTAAATCAGCGGCGCGCGCTGGGCGCAGTGCATGAATCACGGCCGGGACTCCGGCCGACCGCCCCGCTCCGTGTTTAACAAGCTTTATAAGGAGCCATTGGGCTTTATTATGGCTCCGCCTGACTCCAACAGAAACTGAGCCCGCGGGCCCGGGGCCGGCGCTAAGATGGAAACACTTATTAGAGTGCATTACTTCCCCACGCAGATGCCGCTTTCCGCGGAGTCGCGCCACGCTGCATGGCGCGGCATAAATCAGGGCGTTTTCCGAGACGCCGAGGCCCGCCGCCCCCTGCGCGTGGCTCGGCCCGCCGTCGGGGCCGTCGCTCGTTAGTCAGCGCGTAATTTGATGATTAACACCGTCCCACCCCGCGGGCCTGCCAGCTCCCCGCGGGCTCCGGCTCGAGGGCGAACGGTGAGGGGCCCCCTCTGCCAGCGCCTCCCGAAATAACGGGTCGCCGTCACCCTCCAACGTGCCGGCTGCTGCGTTGACACCCACCCGCGGCGCGGGTCTGGGGAGCGCCACGGGAGGGCGCGGCGTGCACTCAATAAGGGGCCCGAAAGTCGAGGCCCGCGATGTGATTTGACATTCCATCATCCATCCCCGAGACAAAGGTCCGCGCAGGAATGTGAAGTAAGACATTTTCTTGTTAATAAAGCATTGATCCGACGTATTGATTTTACATGACACGGCGTTGGCCGCGATTTCGCCCCCTTTTCTCTCTGCAAATAGTCAAGCTCTTCCAAAGGCCTCGGCGTCTGTGACACGGCAAAATTTCTAACTCTCTGTGATGTAAATTCTATATGTGTAAAACCACTTCATAATCAAACCATTAATCATCGGAAGCTGTCAGCGGTGACTTGGGGGACAATTTGTCATGTCTCCGCCTGGGCCGGGACGAGGGTGTCAGGCGGGACCGCGGCGCGGCCGGCGGGGCGGATGGGCCTCACCCGGCGACCGGGCCCAGAAAGGATGCCATAAGTGTTGCGTTTCTTGATTAGGGAACAAAAAAGGGCGGCCCGCTGTGCACTGCCAGCGTGTCAGGGTTTCTCCTCTCTCCCAGCTAATCACCATGACTGTTTGACTTAATGAATCGGCCTGATGAAAGGTGATCAGAAAAGATAGATGGGGGGCCGCTATTGATTTCATGGAAATGCCCCTGACAGGTGACAGACGCTCTAATGCAAGCTCTCAGAAGCCTTATGACTGGTAATAACCGCACACTCTCAATGCTGCGGAGATGTTTCCCGATGTTTCAGTTCAACGGACACTCCTCTTCTTGCACCAAAAACATTTTAAAGCAGCATAAACAGGGGGGTCCCCTCCAGCCCTTGCTTCAGCCCAAAGAGCGTTGCCATCGTGAAGGCGCTGCCCCGAGCGAGGTGGTGAGCTGGGCACCGAGGGGCTGGCTGCTGGGAAGATGACGTCATTGGGCCCCGGGGGTCTCCGCCAAGCCGGGTGGGCACGGGGAGGCGGCTGCCGCAGCCTGACATTCCACTGGGGGCCTGGCTGCTGGATGCCCCACGAATTTACATGGAAGAATTAGAAAAAATTGCCCTTGTCTTGAAACTACAGGAGAAGTGACACGCGTTCCGGCTCCGGGAGGTTTTTCTGATCACTGAGGGTGGGGGGATCCAATCTGCCTCCAAGAGCAGCGGCCACGGGCAGAGCCCACGGACCACCTTCCCGGGGCCAGACCGCACAGAGCCCACCGCCCCGCGCCCGGCGAGACGGGGAGCGGCCGAGGCTTCCCTGGCAAATCCTGCAGCCGGAGGAGAAACGCTGAAGACCCTTCGCACACATCTCATAAATCCTCGGCGTGTCGAGTTTACAAGGCGAGGCCCAGCCGGGCAGGGCACGGCTCTGGCACGTCCAGTCGCCGAGCACCGAGCCAGGCCAATCAATACCACTTTCCTGTTTTAGAACTGGGTAATTATGAGGGGGAGAGATTGCCTGACCTTTCACCTGCACTGCATTACTTTGCTGATATTAAGATAAATTGCCTGATTTTGGGTAAACATATGCTGCAATTCAGACTGTCAGCACTGGTTTGCTCAGGGATAATTTGTATTGATCTCTCCGTTTCTTCCCAATTCTGCTTACTGACCTCGTGGATAATTAGAGAGCCTTGGGTGAGCTGGAGGCGGGGATGAGGGAGAACTACTAGGAAGAAGAAAGCAGATTTGTTTTATGTTAATATT